TTGTTCAGTCAACCCTAGTTATTGGATATTTAGATACTTTTTTCTGTACGTAAAAAAATTTTACATAGCATTTATAAAACCATTTTCATAATCTTTAGGGATATCCAAGATTATGTTCGTGGATTGAAATCCCTGGTAGTGAAATTGTTGGGTTGAGAATATGCGTGTTTTTTTCAGATTTTTGAACCATATTCCCAAAGGGCCCTCCAGAAGGGGTGTGCCAGTTTGATACTCTCGCCAGGAGTATGTGAGAGTATGTTTCCCAGCACAGTTATTGATTGTGGGAATTACTTTTTTAGCTTACTTCTGAATCACAGGTACTTTGATACATAGCGTATAAAATTGATCTCTTAGTGCTGTGTTAACTTCACCTTTTGGATTATGTGTAAGGTAGATTTCTTTCCTCTTTGTCATCATTTTTGTGAAATGTATATTTGTATTTTTTGCCTATTTTTTCATTAATACGTTCATTTCCCCCCCTTACTGGTTGGCGAGCTCTTTCAAGGGTTAGGACATTTGCTCTTGGTCTGCCTTATAAGTTACGCCCCACGTAGGCATTCGCCTTCTGACCTTGTGGACGGAGGCCACTGAAACGGAGGAGCTTTTGGTTTTCATATAGTTTATGGCCTTTATGGTTTATGGCCTAACTCTTCCTTTATGGTTTATGGCCCTGTTGCTTTGTTTAGAAAAACTTTTCCACCCACCCACCCCCACAAATCGTGTCAATGTTTATTCATACTTTTCTTTCGAAACATGTTTCCTTTTCTTCCCTTTAAATTTCCAAGCTCCTGATTTTAATGGGCAGATACTGTGCAGTAGGGTCCTAATTTTGTTTTCTCCCAAGTAAGTAGCTGGTTGTCCTAATACTCCATTGAAAAGTTCAGCCTTTCCCCTCTGGAGAGAAACGTTTTGTTACAGACTAAATTTTTATATTTTAAGTTTGTTTCTGATCTTTTTTTTTTTTTCTCCTGTTTTCTTGGTCTGTACCTTGTTTTTGCTCCAGTGTCGTATTTTAAGAATTGTAATTTAAAAGTATATTTCAATATGCTTAACTAAAATCTCCCTTGGTTATCTTACTGTAAACAATACACGGAGATGTTTCTGTCAAAGCCAAATTCGACACTCTGTGGCTTGGGCAGTGGTGGCCGAGGGTCAGAAACAGTACCCTCCGTTTCTAACCAGTTGGGCAGGAAAGAGTCCCTGGGCTAGGAAGGGATGTCTCCTCTTTACCTTGGGATGATTTAGAACCTGACAATGGAGAGCGAGTTAAGGAAACTTAGGAGGGATGAAGCTACCAGTGGAATTCTGACCAGTGGTAATTTAGCGTAACTAAATTTCCACTTCTAGTTTTCTAGTTCATTTCTTAAAAACAAAAAAAGAGGTGAGGCTTCATCGCTATTGCTGTGTTACAGGTGAATAAACTATGCATGGCTGGACCAGTAGGTGTGACATCTTGAAGGTCAGAATTTGCTAGAAATGCGAATTCTTGGGCTGGCCCCTAAGGTCTTTTTCTAGCCTGGGAGTTGAGAGACCCCAAACTACATTTTCACGAGGTCGATTTGGAAAACTCCAAAACAGGAAAAATAGTTTGCTTTGGTGCCTCATGTCCCAGAGATGCCTCTTAGAGAAACGGCCTCTCGTTCTGCTCCGCTACCAGGACTCCTGCTTGCACATTACTGCGGGTCAGCTGACACTGAGATGCCAGAGTGCAGGCCAGCAACACCTGCCGGTCACAGCCCCCAAGGCCAAGCGCGGCTGGCTTGGGGCTCATCGCAAGAGAAGGCCTTGCCCATCCCGCTGAAAGGCCGTCCCATGTGACACGGCCAGGCTTTCTTTGACATCAGAAAGGGTAAGGAGCCTCAGAACCATCTGAAGGCTCTGGGGACTGACCTCAAGATCTAGGAGCTAGAAGCTGACAAGAGGTTTTGTTCCCTTATTTCTATTGTAATCTTTATTCCCTGACACTTAGCCCTGATGAATGAATCCTTTTTAGAGTTTACAAAGAGCAATTTTGTTCTCCAGCTTCTAAGGAACCCTAGGTGCCAGTTCACAAAACTACAGATTTCCCTGCTCTCCGAAAGTAGAGCATTGCCATTGTAAAGCCTTTTGTAAACCAAAATGGCGTAAAGCAAAGAAATTACCGTTAATTTATGTGGAAAATGTTTTGAGCATGACCAGACCCCCCAAAACAGGCTCTCTTACACTTTTCTGACATCTTAGGATACATCTTGCTAATGCGTGCACAGAATAAAATCGAGGCAAAGCTCAGATGCTCACGGACGCAGTTCAAAGCTGCCGGGACGGGGGGCTGATGCCAATGTTCTGTACACAGTTCAGTTCTCACTACCTGGGGTCTGGGCTGCCTCTAGTGGCTCACTGCAAAGCGGGGGCTGAATGTTTTCTCATTTTCGTCTTTTTTTTTTTTTCTTTTTTGGTGAACACAGAAATCCTCTTTGGATTTCTTCCAGTTAGCAAAAGCAGGTACTAGTTATTGTAGGTCTCTGGTAAACTGATGGGGTGCGGCACAGACCTTCGAAAAGCAGTGTGCCTGTCACCAGTTTGAGAAAGGAGCTTTATCCCCATCTAGTGGCCAAAAGGGTAAATGCTTCGGTCTGTCTGAGCCTCCTACCTTTATTTTGTAGCGCAGACTACAGAACGTAGAGAGGAAAATACAGAAAATAAGACGTTCAGAAAAAAAAATTTTTTTTTTTCTCTGAGTCAGGATTCAGCAGTCTCAGGGTGATTCGCTTGTTTCCATGGCCCTCCACAAACGTTTGGGAAAGAATGAAGTCAGTATCACCGCTAACCTCGAGGACCCTGCCGAAGACCCTTTTTTAATTTGTATTTTCTATTCAAGGTAGTGCATTAATAGAAGTCGGTGAATCCATGAAGCTCATGGCTGAGGTGAAAGACTCTCTTGACATTAACGTAAAGCAAACTTTTATTGATCCACTTCAGTTACTACAAGACAAAGATTTAAAAGAGATTGGGGTAAGTCTTGCGGGCTCTAAATCTACCTGTTGCTACTTAAAGTGAAGTTCATATTTAAAACCATCAGAGTGTTTCTGTAGGGATTCCGTGAAAGCATCGTCTTGTGGGTGGTGAAAAAAATAACTCCTATTTACCTGGCTCACTGGGAAAGAGACCCGGGACCTCTTAGCTTTTTATTCTGTATCTTATTTTTTTTTTACTTTCTTAGGGTTTTTATATATTTTTGAGAGAGAGAGGAAGAGAGAGAGAGAGAGAGAAGATGAATGGGGGAAATGCAGAGAGGGAGAGAGACACAAAATCTGAAAGAGGCTCCGGGCTCCAAGCTGTCAGCACAGAGCCCGACGTGGGGC